TGCATTTTGAGGTGGCGTTGCAGGGAGTTGCATTTTGAGGTGGGTGGCGTTGCAGGGAGTTGCATTTTGAGGTGGCGTTGCAGGGAGTTGCATTTTGAGGTGGCGTTGCAGGGAGTTGCATTTTGAGGTGGCGTTGCAGGGAGTTGCATTTTGAGGTGGCGTTGCAGGGAGTTGCATTTTGAGGTGGCGTTGCAGGGAGTTGCATTTTGAGGTGGCGTTGCAGGGAGTTGCATTTTGAGGTGGCGTTGCAGGGAGTTGCATTTTGAGGTGGCGTTGCAGGGAGTTGCATTTTGAGGTGGCGTTGCAGGGAGTTGCATTTTGAGGTGGCGTTGCAGGGAGTTGCATTTTGAGGTGGCGTTGCAGGGAGTTGCATTTTGAGGTGGCGTTGCAGGGAGTTGCATTTTGAGGTGGCGTTGCAGGGAGTTGCATTTTGAGGTGGCGTTGCAGGGAGTTGCATTTTGAGGTGGCGTTGCAGGGAGTTGCATTTTGAGGTGGCGTTGCAGGGAGTTGCATTTTGAGGTGGCGTTGCAGGGAGTTGCATTTTGAGGTGGCGTTGCAGGGAGTTGCATTTTGAGGTGGCGTTGCAGGGAGTTGCATTTTGAGGTGGCGTTGCAGGGAGTTGCATTTTGAGGTGGCGTTGCAGGGAGTTGCATTTTGAGGTGGCGTTGCAGGGAGTTGCATTTTGAGGTGGCGTTGCAGGGAGTTGCATTTTGAGGTGGCGTTGCAGGGAGTTGCATTTTGAGGTGGCGTTGCAGGGAGTTGCATTTTGAGGTGGCGTTGCAGGGAGTTGCATTTTGAGGTGGCGTTGCAGGGAGTTGGATTTTGAGGTGGCGTTGCAGGGAGTTGCATTTTGAGGTGGCTTTGCAGGGAGTTGCATTTTGAGGTGGCGTTGCAGGGAGTTGCATTTTGAGGTGGCGTTGCAGGGAGTTGCATTTTGAGGTGGCGTTGCAGGGAGTTGCATTTTGAGGTGGCGTTGCAGGGAGTTGCATTTTGAGGTGGCGTTGCAGGGAGTTGCATTTTGAGGTGGCGTTGCAGGGAGTTGGATTTTGAGGTGGCGTTGCAGGGAGTTGCATTTCGAGGTGGCGTTGCAGGGAGTTGCATTTTGAGTTGGCGTTGCAGGGAGTTGGATTTTGAGGTGGCGTTGCAGGGAGTTGCATTTTGAGGTGGCGTTGCAGGGAGTTGCATTTTGAGGTGGCGTTGCAGGGAGTTGCATTTTGAGGTGGCGTTGCAGGGAGTTGCATTTTGAGGTGGCGTTGCAGGGAGTTGCATTTTGAGGTGGCGTTGCAGGGAGTTGCATTTTGAGGTGGCGTTGCAGGGAGTTGCATTTTGAGGTGGCGTTGCAGGGAGTTGCATTTCGAGGTGGCGTTGCAGGGAGTTGCATTTTGAGGTGGCGTTGCAGGGAGTTGGATTTTGAGGTGGCGTTGCAGGGAGTTGCATTTTGAGGTGGCGTTGCAGGGAGTTGCATTTTGAGGTGGCGTTGCAGGGAGTTGCATTTTGAGGTGGCGTTGCAGGGAGTTGCATTTTGAGGTGGCGTTGCAGGGAGTTGCATTTTGAAGTGGCGTTGCAGGGAGTTGCATTTTGAGGTGGCGTTGCAGGGAGTTGCATTTTGAGGTGGCGTTGCAGGGAGTTGCATTTTGAGGTGGCGTTGCAGGGAGTTGCATTTTGAAGTGGCGTTGCAGGGACTTGCATTTTGAGGTGGCGTTGCAGGGAGTTGCATTTTGAGGTGGCGTTGCAGGGAGTTGCATTTTGAGGTGGCGTTGCAGGGAGTTGCATTTTGAGGTGGCGTTGCAGGGAGTTGCATTTTGAGGTGGCGTTGCAGGGAGTTGCATTTTGAGGTGGCGTTGCAGGGAGTTGCATTTTGAGGTGGCGTTGCAGGGAGTTGGATTTTGAGGTGGCGTTGCAGGGAGTTGCATTTCGAGGTGGCGTTGCAGGGAGTTGCATTTTGAGGTGGCGTTGCAGGGAGTTGGATTTTGAGGTGGCGTTGCAGGGAGTTGCATTTTGAGGTGGCGTTGCAGGGAGTTGCATTTTGAGGTGGCGTTGCAGGGAGTTGCATTTTGAGGTGGCGTTGCAGGGAGTTGCATTTTGAGGTGGGTGGCGTTGCAGGGAGTTGCATTTTGAGGTGGCGTTGCAGGGAGTTGCATTTTGAGGTGGCGTTGCAGGGAGTTGCATTTTGAGGTGGCGTTGCAGGGAGTTGCATTTTGAGGTGGCGTTGCAGGGAGTTGCATTTTGAGGTGGCGTTGCAGGGAGTTGCATTTTGAGGTGGCGTTGCAGGGAGTTGCATTTTGAGGTGGCGTTGCAGGGAGTTGGATTTTGAGGTGGCGTTGCAGGGAGTTGCATTTCGAGGTGGCGTTGCAGGGAGTTGCATTTTGAGGTGGCGTTGCAGGGAGTTGCATTTTGAGGTGGCGTTGCAGGGAGTTGCATTTTGAGGTGGCGTTGCAGGGAGTTGCATTTTGAGGTGGCGTTGCAGGGAGTTGCATTTTGAGGTGGCGTTGCAGGGAGTTGCATTTTGAGGTGGCGTTGCAGGGAGTTGCATTTTGAGGTGGCGTTGCAGGGAGTTGCATTTTGAGGTGGCGTTGCAGGGAGTTGCATTTTGAGGTGGCGTTGCAGGGAGTTGCATTTTGAGGTGGCGTTGCAGGGAGTTGCATTTTGAGGTGGCGTTGCAGGGAGTTGCATTTTGAGGTGGCGTTGCAGGGAGTTGCATTTTGAGGTGGCGTTGCAGGGAGTTGCATTTTGAGGTGGCGTTGCAGGGAGTTGCATTTTGAGGTGGGTGGCGTTGCAGGGAGTTGCATTTTGAGGTGGCGTTGCAGGGAGTTGCATTTTGAGGTGGGTGGCGTTGCAGGGAGTTGCATTTTGAGGTGGCGTTGCAGGGAGTTGCATTTTGAGGTGGCGTTGCAGGGAGTTGGATTTGAGGTGGCGTTGCAGGGAGTTGCATTTCGAGGTGGCGTTGCAGGGAGTTGCATTTTGAGGTGGCGTTGCAGGGAGTTGGATTTTGAGGTGGCGTTGCAGGGAGTTGCATTTTGAGGTGGCGTTGCAGGGAGTTGCATTTTGAGGTGGCGTTGCAGGGAGTTGCATTTTGAGGTGGCGTTGCAGGGAGTTGCATTTTGAGGTGGCGTTGCAGGGAGTTGCATTTTGAGGTGGCGTTGCAGGGAGTTGGATTTTGAGGTGGCGTTGCAGGGAGTTGCATTTTGAGGTGGCGTTGCAGGGAGTTGCATTTTGAGGTGGCGTTGCAGGGAGTTGCATTTTGAGGTGGCGTTGCAGGGAGTTGCATTTTGAGGTGGCGTTGCAGGGAGTTGCATTTTGAGGTGGCGTTGCAGGGAGTTGCATTTTGAGGTGGCGTTGCAGGGAGTTGCATTTTGAGGTGGCGTTGCAGGGAGTTGCATTTTGAGGTGGCGTTGCAGGGAGTTGCATTTTGAGGTGGCGTTGCAGGGAGTTGCATTTTGAGGTGGCGTTGCAGGGAGTTGCATTTTGAGGTGGCGTTGCAGGGAGTTGCATTTTGAGGTGGCGTTGCAGGGAGTTGCATTTTGAGGTGGCGTTGCAGGGAGTTGCATTTTGAGGTGGCGTTGCAGGGAGTTGGATTTTGAGGTGGCGTTGCAGGGAGTTGCATTTTGAGGTGGCTTTGCAGGGAGTTGCATTTTGAGGTGGCGTTGCAGGGAGTTGCATTTTGAGGTGGCGTTGCAGGGAGTTGCATTTTGAGGTGGCGTTGCAGGGAGTTGCATTTTGAGGTGGCGTTGCAGGGAGTTGCATTTTGAGGTGGCGTTGCAGGGAGTTGCATTTTGAGGTGGCGTTGCAGGGAGTTGGATTTTGAGGTGGCGTTGCAGGGAGTTGCATTTCGAGGTGGCGTTGCAGGGAGTTGCATTTTGAGTTGGCGTTGCAGGGAGTTGGATTTTGAGGTGGCGTTGCAGGGAGTTGCATTTTGAGGTGGCGTTGCAGGGAGTTGCATTTTGAGGTGGCGTTGCAGGGAGTTGCATTTTGAGGTGGCGTTGCAGGGAGTTGCATTTTGAGGTGGCGTTGCAGGGAGTTGCATTTTGAGGTGGCGTTGCAGGGAGTTGCATTTTGAGGTGGCGTTGCAGGGAGTTGCATTTTGAGGTGGCGTTGCAGGGAGTTGCATTTTGAGGTGGCGTTGCAGGGAGTTGCATTTTGAGGTGGCGTTGCAGGGAGTTGCATTTTGAGGTGGCGTTGCAGGGAGTTGCATTTTGAGGTGGCGTTGCAGGGAGTTGCATTTTGAGGTGGCATTGCAGGGAGTTGCATTTTGAGGTGGCGTTGCAGGGAGTTGCATTTTGAGGTGGCGTTGCAGGGAGTTGCATTTTGAGGTGGCGTTGCAGGGAGTTGCATTTTGAGGTGGCGTTGCAGGGAGTTGCATTTTGAGGTGGCGTTGCAGGGAGTTGCATTTTGAGGTGGCGTTGCAGGGAGTTGCATTTTGAGGTGGCGTTGCAGGGAGTTGCATTTTGAGGTGGCGTTGCAGGGAGTTGCATTTTGAGGTGGCGTTGCAGGGAGTTGCATTTTGAGGTGGCGTTGCAGGGAGTTGCATTTTGAGGTGGCGTTGCAGGGAGTTGCATTTCGAGGTGGCGTTGCAGGGAGTTGCATTTTGAGGTGGTGTTGCAGGGAGTTGCACTTTGAGGTGGCGTTGCAGGGAGTTGCATTTTGAGGTGGCGTTGCAGGGAGTTGCATTTTGAGGTGGCGTTGCAGGGAGTTGCATTTTGAGGTGGCTTTGCAGGGAGTTGCATTTTGAGGTGGCGTTGCAGGGAGTTGCATTTTGAGGTGGCGTTGCAGGGAGTTGCATTTTGAGGTGGCGTTGCAGGGAGTTGCATTTTGAGGTGGCGTTGCAGGGAGTTGCATTTTGAGGTGGCGTTGCAGGGAGTTGCATTTTGAGGTGGCGTTGCAGGGAGTTGCATTTTGAGGTGGCGTTGCAGGGAGTTGCATTTTGAGGTGGTGTTGCAGGAGACATTTTGAGAATTCTCAAAAACTCCCTGCAACGTCTGGAGGGTGTGGGGCTGGTATGCATGAGACATTCTGAGGTGGCGCTCTCTCGTGACCAGGGACCGGGGACGAGGGACGAGGGACGAGGGAGTGAGCCGCTCTGCCCCTCATCCCCCCTTTCTCCCTTTCACTCCTTCCCCTGCGCCCCTACCCCCGTCTACACCTCCCCACCACTCTCAACCGCACAGAAGCGGTTACAAATGGCAGTGGAATGGCCGCTACAGCACCCTGAAGCCTTCCTGCGCCTCGCTCTCACCCCCCCCAGGGGAGTGCTGCTGCACGGCCCTCCCGGGGGCGGCAAAACAATGCTCGCCCTGGCCGCTGCCCACGCCTCCATGGCAACACTCTTCTCCCTCAGGTGGGTTTCTTTGTTCCATTAGAGCCGACTCAAGGCTCTCACACCCCCCAGAGGTGTCCTGCTGCATGGGCCCCCCGGGGGCGGCAAGACAATGCTCGCTCTGGCCGCTGCCCACACTTCCAAGGCAACGCTCTTCTCCCTCAGGTGCGCGCTCTTCTCCCTCAGGTGCGCGCTCTTCTCCCTCAGGTGCGCGCTCTTCTCCCTCAGGTGCGCTCTCTTCTCCCTCAGGTGCGCGCTCTTCTCCCTCAGGTGCGCTCTCTTCTCCTGTCTCTCCTCTCTACTCTTCTTCCCTTTGAGTCCACCCAAGGGGATTCGCCCTCATTGTCCCCCCAGAGGGGTGCTGCTGCACAGCCAACACATTTGCGAGGGAGAGGTGATGCTGAAGCACACACACGCACACACACACCTATGGTCCATCCAAACTTCCTCTTGCACCCTTCCCTTTCTATCTGCGGCGGTGCAGACCCCTTTTCAGCCGGGGGAGGCGATGCTCTTGTGCTCAGAAGAGCACATGGGCTAACTGTTTCTCAACGTAGTGGGGCTGTTGTTTCACGCATGCCTAAGGAAGACACTCATATGTGCGTGCTTTCTCGCTTTGAGATGTCTCAGAACTCATATATGTGCATGCTTTCTCCTGTCTCCTTTGCTTTTTTATTGCAGCGGTGCAGACCTGTTCTCCATGTACGTGGGCGAGGGGGAGGCGATGCTCAAAGAGACACAGGCCACTGCTCTGAATCACACACCTATGGCCCATGCTCCTTCCCACATCCCTTTCCATCTGCAGCGGTGCAGACCTGTTCTCCATGTACGTGGGCGAGGGGGAGGCGATGCTCAAAGAGATGTTCCGATTGGCCCGCATGGCGGCTCCCAGCGTGGTGTTTGTGGACGAGGTCGACGTGGTGGGGGGGCGCAGGTGGGTACAGTGCGGTACGGAACAGTGCAGCGTGATGTGGGGTGGTGCAATGCGATGCAGTTTACGTGTATGTTACAGAATCAGATCTGACCCTGTCAAGAAACGTTCCGCCTGGCTCGCATGGCGGCTCCCTGCGTCGTGTTTGTGGACGAGGTCGACGTGGTGGGGAACCACAGGTGAGTGCAGTGCCGTGTAGAGCGGTTCAGACTGGTTCAGTGCCGTGCAGTGCGGTGCAGTGCAGCGTGATGTGGTGCAGTGGAGTCCAAATGGATAATTGGTAGGCAATGTTTTTTGTTTCGACCCGGACAGTTTCCAGACGCCTCCTGACCAACCCGGTTGGTCCCAACCCCACCAAGTGGGTGCTCCAAATCAGGTTTGCCTCCCCGTCTGCACCTGCCCCCCCTCCCACTTCAACTCCCAACAGGTCCGATGCAGAAAGCTCAGGTAGTGGAGGGGGAGGGGGAGGGGGAGGAGGGGGCAGCGTGGGGGAGAGGCTACTGGCGGCGCTGCTGACTGAAATGGACGGGCTTCAGTCGCTCACTGCTCCCATCGCACCCTCAAGCACTGCGAGCCGCACTAGCAGCGGCACCGACAGTAGCAGCATAAGCAGCACAGGGAGCACAAGCCAAGGGAAGTCAACTGACGCATCCGTTCCCTCCTCGTCCTCCTCGGCAGTGCTGGTGATAGCAGCAACCAACCGTTTTCAGGCCTTGGATCCGGCCATCATCCGCCCAGGAAGGTTTGACTCAGTGAGTGCCCACCCCGTTTGGTCACGGGTCATGCTTGGTGGTGCAGGGTAAATGCAAGGGGAGTGTGATGGGCTTGTCAGTGCTGGTGGTGGTAGCATCTTAGCCGCAACCAACCGCTTCCAATCCCTAGATCCGGCCATTATCCGCCTGGGACAGTTTGACTCGGAAAGTACCTCCATCCCCTACTCGGTCATATGTCACTTAAGGTCGCCCAGGGTCAATGTAGAGGTATTGATGGGCTGAATCACATGTCAGTTTCAGAATTGATGGGCTGAATCACCCCAAGTGATTTTCTATACTGAACCTGCTTCCCCCTTCCTCCCCATTCGTCCATCCTCCCCATCAGATCATCTACGTGCCACCGTTGGACGAAGCAGGCAGGCTGCACGCGCTGCACACCCACACACCTTACCCTTCCCCTTCCCCCTAACTTCTCCTGCTTCCCATATGCCCCAGCCTCCACCCACCAACCTTCATCCCTCCCTATCAGATCATCTACGTGCCACCATTGGATGAACCAGGCAGGCTGCACGCACTGCAAATCCACAAGCCTTCCCCCTCACCCAAATCAATCATACTTTCCTAAACTCTTCCCCTTCCGCCCCATCAGATCATCTATGTACCACCGTTGGATGAACCAGGCAGGCTGCACGCACTGCAGATCCACACATCCGCCATGCGCCTTGCTGCTGACGTCAGCCTGCCAGCTGTTGCCGCCCGCACGGCTCTGTTCACCGGCGCTGACGTGGCAGCGCTGTGCAGGGAGGCTGCTTTGGCAGCATTGAGAGGAAAGGTTCTTGGAAATGGGGAGGGAGGGAGTGAAAATACAGCAGAGGATACAGCAGCACATGGGGAAGCAAAAGCAGTAGCAGAAGCACAAGCACAAGTGCAAGCGCAAGCAGCAGGAGCAGCAGGAGCAGCAGGAGCAGCAGGAGCAGCAGGAGCAGCAGTTATTGCATCTAATACCACTCCCCCATGCGTTTCCCAGGAGCATTTTGATGCTGCACTGATGGTGGTTCGGCCGTCCTTGACTGAACTGGAGGTTCGAGCATACGAGCGAGATGCATGAGGGATGGGCTGGTCTTGCTCATGTAGTGTAATGTGTGATGTCATATCTGTGCCTTCCAGAGATGTGCTTCGCACATGTACACTTGAAGCCACTGGCGCCATGATAACTAATCGAGCTGTTGATTGGACACGTCAAAGTCTAGTGCGTTTTCAGTGAGCAAAAGGCTCGTTTCGTATGGCTGAACCGAACAAAATGTGTTGATTTCCCATTCAAATCAGAGCCGTTCCAGCAGAAACCCAAGACACAGTTGTATGGTATCAACTTGTGCCACGTCACATTGCGAGGTGATGATCGTACTGTTGCTGATCATACATACCGGTAACACACACATCATTTGTGACGATCCTCACAGCCATTGCCTGCAGCACCACAGCCTGCGGTGCGGTGCTGACACAGGGACGAGGATCAAGCAAGACTTGTCAGCAGAGGACGTCATCATCACCATTGGCGATGTGACTTTTGAGTCGACTCAAAAGTCAGTAGAGGACGTCATGTAGGTTCTGTTGTTGGACAATCCACCATCACAATCGGCGATCGCAAGTGAGGAAACGTGCAATCACTTCGTGCTGGTTCTGGCGGTCGCTCAGCCAACGATTCACCCTCACTGCCGTTTCTTGCAGCACCACGGCCCGCGGGTCAAGGTCGAGGAAAGCATGGATGAAGGAGAGGTGCAGCAGAGGCGGGGAGAAGTCCAAGAGTGCATGGATGAGACTCTCTCCCTGCTCCTCCAATACCACCTGTGTGTGAAGAACAAGGGGTGCAGGCATTTGAGTAGGAAGGACAGGGGGAAAAGGTTGAAGGACAACGCACCAAACTGACACGTTGCAGACATGAGTGCACCAAACCTTGTGGTGCAAGGCGCAGAGACAGGGTGCAAGGCGCAGAGACAGGGTGCAAGGCGCAGAGACAGGGTGCAAGGCGCAGAGACAGGGTGCAAGGCGCAGAGACAGGGTGCAAGGCGCAGAGACAGGGTGCAAGGCGCAGAGACAGGGTGCAAGGCGCAGAGACAGGGTGCAAGGCGCAGAGACAGGGTGCAAGGCGCAGAGACAGGGTGCAAGGCGCAGAGACAGGGTGCAAGGCGCAGAGACAGGGTGCAAGGCGCAGAGACAGGGTGCAAGGCGCAGAGACAGGGTGCAAGGCGCAGAGACAGGGTGCAAGGCGCAGAGACAGGGTGCAAGGCGCAGAGACAGGGTGCAAGGCGCAGAGACAGGGTGCAAGGCGCAGAGACAGGGTGCAAGGCGCAGAGACAGGGTGCAAGGCGCAGAGACAGGGTGCAAGGTGCAGAGACAGGGTGCAAGGTGCAGAGACAGGGTGCAAGGTGCAGAGACAGGGTGCAAGGTGCAGAGACAGGGTGCAAGGCGCAGAGACAGGGTGCAAGGCGCAGAGAGAGGGTGCAAGGCGCAGAGAGAGGGTGCAGGCACCACAAGGTTCACAAGCAAACAGCACCAGGCCTCACCGGACTGCTGTCTCGTGCCCGTAGCTCCCTCCCATCCACCACAATGCACCCAGCTGCATCCAGCAGCACCGCATTGGGCCGCATGCACACGTGGCAGTTGTGCCAGCGCACAGGGGACCCCTGACACGTCACCACCCTCACATTAAACTCAACCGCTGCTTCCATCGCCAGCAATTCCGCCTCCACCTCCTCCTCCTCCACCCGCCCTGCTCCACCGCTCACCACCCCTCCCAACCCACGCACATGCAACCGCCCTGATCCTGCCCCTTCCATCCCTTCCACTCCTTCCAATCCCGACGGATAACGCCTCAAATCTGCTCCAAAGCTCACTGACCCTGACCCTAGTCCCCCCATCCCATCCCCGACCATCTCCCCATCCATCTCACCACCCATAGCACCACTCATGTCACCACCACCCATAGCACCCACCAGCCCACTATCCAGCCTCACCATACCGAAACCATCCACATAGGCGGGTACCCCTGGGTACCCATCTGCACCCCTGAGATTCAATGAGGGACCTGAGCCCTCGCTGTGGGAGAGGGGGAGGTTGAACTGGGGAAGGTTTGCATGGTGAAGGTTGTATCTGGGCCCTTCTGAAGCAGGTGCGATTCGAGGGGAGGTTCTACTGGGTCCGGCTCGCCTGCTGCTGCTTCTACTGCTCCTGCTATTACTGCTGTGGCTGCTGTTGCCAATGCTGTGGCTGCTGTGACTGCCTATACTGCCTGTCCTTCTCATACGCCCACTATGGGGCGAACCAAACGACCTCTGCTCCCCATGGATTTGATTCGGGAGAATCTGGCCTGGTACCCACGCACCAGGATACCCCATACTGCTGCTGTTACTATTACCAGCATTCTCAGCACTGTATTCTCCTTCGTTATAGTCATCTCCGCCAGGTGGAACATCAATAGTGATACCAGAGAGTGTACTCTCCCCGTCCTCCAGATTTTCAGTCAGCTCCTCCAGCCGGTGCCGGTCCTCCCTCCCGTGCCTCCTGTACACGCCTAGAAGCCTTGGCGCCGAGCCTCTCCTGTTGCCGAGCCTAGGAACACCCCTCTGTTCCCTCTGTTCCCTCTGTTCCCTCTGTTCCCTCTGCTCCCTCTGCTCCCTCTGCTCCCTCTGCTCCCTCTGCTCCCTCTGCTCCCTCTGCTCCCTCTGCTCCCTCTGCTCCCTTCTATCCGGGGTTGCCTGTAACCCCAGGCTTCCTTCTGGTCCCGTTGCTTCGCCCTGTGACGTTTGACCTAGTATCTCTGCAGGTGCTGCTGCTGCTGCTGCTTCTCTCCCCAAACCAATTCTCCCTCTGTTCCCACTGTTGCTGATGCTGATGCCATTGTAAGCGTAAGGATCACTAGCATTAAGTGCCTCTGCCTCTACATTCGCTTGTGCATGCCTCTGTGCTTCATCTTCATCTCGCCCTTGCTGCTCCTGCTCATCCGCCTGCTGCTGCTCTTGCTCCTGCTGTAGCTGGTGCTGCTGCAGCAGCTGAAGCTGCTCTTGCAGTTCTTCCTGCAATCGCTCCTCTGCCTCCTCTGCCTGCTGCTGCTGCTGCAGGTGCAGCAACAGGTGCTGCCCCTCTTGCAAGTGCTGCTGTGCAGCCTCCTCCTCTTCCTCCTGTTGCTGCTGCAGCAACAGCAACTCCTGCCCTTCCTGCAACTGCTGCTGCAACAACTGTTCCTCCTCTAATTGCTGCTGCAACTGTAACTCCTCCTCAAGTTGTAACTGCTCATGAAACCGTACCTCTTGCTGCATCCCCTCTTCAAACTGCACTTGTAACGCCTGCATCTCCCTTTGCTCCAGCTGCTGCTGTAACTGTAACTCGTCCTGCTGTTGTAACTGTAACTCGTCTGGAAGTTGTACCTCCTCATCACATAGCAACCCTTGCTCCATTTCATCTTCAAAACGATCCTGTAACGACCCTGCATCCTGTAACTCCTCTTGCGGCTCTGGTTGTAATCCCGACCCCATGTGAATCTGTTCATGCAGTTGTAACTGCTCCTGTAACCCGAGTTGTAACTGCTCATGCAACTGCAGCTGCTCCTGCACCTGTAACTGTTCCTGCACTTGTAACTGCTCATGCAGCTGATGCTGCTCTTGTAACCGTAACAAATCCTGCACCTGTAACTCCTCCTCCTCTAACTGACTCTGCAACTCCTCTTGCAAATGCATTTGCTCTTGAAGCTGCTGCAGTTGCTGCTCTTGCCCCTCCTCCTCCTCCTCCTGCTGCTGCCGCCGCCCCTCCTCCTCTCCCTCCTGTCCCCCCTGCTCCTCCTGTGCCTCCTCCAAATCCACAAGGTGACTCACAGCCACTGAGACTTGGTTCCCGTATTCTGCTTCCATTCTCCCAAGCCTCCTCTCATAAATCGCCCTCCTTTCCCTCCTCCCAACATTGCAGCTGCTACTGCCAACTATACTGCTCACACTCCTTCTCCTGTCACTTAAACTACTGGTACTGTCACTCCCAGCAACGACACCATTGTTATAACCGCCCTCTCCCATTCCCACCGCATTTAACCTCTCTTCCAACCTCTGCTCCAACCTCTGCTCCAATCTCTCCCTCACGCCCCTCTGTCTACCCTCATCCTCCCCATGCCGCCCTCTCTCCCCATCTTCACTTTTCGCTCTCCTGAACCCCCTCCCTCTCTGCATTACCCTATCCTCCCCCATCTCCCTCCTCTCCACATCGCCCCTTCGCCCTCCCCTTGTGTTCCCACTCATCCCATCCCTCTGAGTTCTGCTCAGTTGCAACCTCCCCCTCGCTGCCCACCCAGATGTACCTCCCCCAGAAGATGCTCCCGCTGGCAGCAGGTCCACCTGCAGGTCGTCAGCCAACCCCCCTGCCTCTTCCTCTCTGCCTTCGCGAAACCGTGAATTCGCCTGTTGCTGCTGCTGTGCTTCCTGCTGCTGCCCCTGCTGCACCTCCTGCTGCATCTGCTCCTCCTGCTGCCGCCCCCCCTGCTCTCCCATTTCCTCCTTCTCCTCCTCCTCCTCCTCCTCCTCCTCCTCCTCCTCCTCCTGGTGTTGTTGTTGCTGCTGCTGCTGCTGCTGTGGCTGCTGTTGTTGTTGCTGTTGCTGCTGCCGCTGCTGCTGCTGCTGTTTCAGCCGCATCAGTCTGTTTCTCTCAAGAATCCTCTCCACCTGCCACGGATACTGCCCTCTCTGCCTCAATCCGCCACTGCAGCCACCACCACCGCTGCTACCACCGCTGCCACCACCCCTGCCTCTGGTGCCGTTGCCGTTGCTACTGCTGCCACCACTGCCACTGCTGCTACCAGCATTGCTACTGCAGCCTTCCCCGCCAGTACCCTTGCTGCCAGTGGTAGAACCACCATCACCCACACCACCCTCCTCTGCGTGCCCGCCCCTGCTACTCTCCCTCACACCATTTCCTGCCGCAGCATTCACCCTTCCCGCAGAGCACCCAGCAGCACGGGTGCTTGAGCCAAGGCCCGGGATAGCACCACTGGGGGTGTCTGTGTCTGTGCTGTTGATCCTCGCGGCTGCTGCACTGGCAGCAGCATTGGCTCTGCTGCTGCTTGTGATGTCCGCGCTACGAGTGGCTGCTGCTGCACTGGTAGCAGCACTGGCCCTACTGCTGCTGCTGTCTGCAATGCTGATCCTGGCTTGCGCTGCTGCACTGGCACTGGCAGCACCGTGAGTGGCAGTTGAACCAGAGCTGTTGCGAGGGGGAGAGGGCGGTTGGTCAAGCGGAGAAGAGAGGGAGGAGAAACGGCCAGAGAAGCGGAACGGACGGGACAAAGGGGCGACGGCAGAAGCGGGAAGAGAAGAGCGGGCACTGGAAGAGGAGGGGAGGGAGGAAGAGGGAGGAGAGAGCGTAGTGGAGGTGGTGGTAGCAGTGGGAGCAGTGGGAGCAGTGGGAGCAGTGGTTTCACTGACGGGGATGGGTAACGCAGCAGCAGGGATAGGTGACGTGGTAGCAGTAATAGGAGTAGAGGCTGATGCAGGAGGGAGAGGAGGACGAGCAGCAACAGAAGCTGGAGCAGCACTGTGTGTGTGAAGAGTGCGAGAGAGTGGGGGGAGAGGCAGAGAGAGTAGGGAGGAGGAGGAGGAGGAGGAGGAGGAGGAGGAGGAGGAGGAGGAGGAGGAGGAGGAGGAGGAGGAGGAGGAGGAGGAGGAGGAGGAGGAGGAGGAGGAGGAGAGGGTGGAGTGTGCAAGGAGGGGAACAGGACCAGACATGGAAGGACGAGTGTTGGAGGCAGGGGGACGGGTGGTGGTGGAAGGATTCAGCGAAGCAGAGAGGGGCCCAGAAGCGGACAGATGGAGAGATGCAGAGAGAGGGTTAGCTGTAGAGGAAAGTGGGTTGGTTGGGTGGTAGCGATGGGGGTGGAGAGACGAGAGGGAAGCGAGAGAGGGCAGGGACGGACGGGAGGGGACTGAAGAACGGATGAGGCGAGATGGCAGGGGGGTGTAAGAATCGTCTGCTGCTGCAGCGGCGACTGCGAGGGCCAAAGTGCGGCGGAGAGCTGGGGAGGAGGAAGAGGAGGGGATAGGGATTGTGGGATCGGAGGAGGTGGAGAGGGAGAGGGAGGGGAGGGAGATGGGAGGAGGAGGAGTCGAGGAGGAGAGGGGCGGGGAGAGCGAGTAGCGAAGGTTGTCTCCTAGCGCTCGCTGCCTGTGGGATGGAACAGCGAGGGCAGCAAGGGAGGGAGATGTTAAGGGGTTTAGGGGGGCAGCATGGGGTGGAGGGGGGTAAGGGGGGGGGGGGGGGGGGGGGGAGGGGGGGTTGGTTTCGATAAGAGGATATTGGAGGGCTGGTGATGGCTCTGATTGTGATTTGTCACTGTTACATGCAGAGGCAACTCACCGCCTGTCGGATATCCTCTGTACAAGCTGCTGCGCTAAGCGCACGTGTGAATGCACCTCTGCGTGGGCTGCTCTGACCAGTGCAATGCGCTCCTCTGCTGCCGCCATCTGATAGAGGAAGGTGAGGGTTTGGGGGTTAAGAATTTTAGGCGCCTTAAAAATCGACTATTTATGCGCCTCAGATATGAGCTAGGCGCACGTGTGAATGCACCTCCGCGTGGGCTGCTCTGACCAGCGCAATGCGCTCCTCTGCCGACGCCATCTGATACAGAGGAAAGAATGGGAGGGGTGGGGTTGGGTGAAACGTGGAGAGGTGCGTGGCAAGAAAATCGAGCTTCTGAAAATAACACAGCAAACTCCTGTGTTGCTGAGAACTCAAAAACATCATCCACAGCAGGAGCAGCAGCAGCAGCAGCAGGAGCAGCAGCAGCAGCAGCAGCAGCAGCAGCAGCAGCAGCAGCAGCAGCAGCAGCAGCAGCAGCAGCAGCAGCAGCAGCAGCAACACCAGCGCAGCCGCCTTTGCCACAGCAGCACATGTGAAAGCTGCAGCTCACCAGTTGCAGCGCCACAGCCCTCTGCTCCGCAATGTGGTTCCTTGCTCGCTGCAAATCCCGCCTCTGGTGCCCCCACACTCCCCCCTGTGCCAACCCTCCTCCCCCTCCCCCTTCCCCGCCTCCCCCTTCCCGCCCCCTCCCCCCTCCCCCTGCCAGCCCGCCCACATCTTCCCCCAACCCAAACAATCCCCCCCTTCTCTCCCCCAACCTGGGACTACCCGCTCGCGGAAACCCCATTGTTTCGGGCAGGGAAAAGATCGACGTGGGGCGTTCCTGGAGCGGGAAGCGGCAGAGCGGGCAGCACAAATTCCCGTGGCGAACGTTTTCGCGAATGCAGTCGAAATGGCACAAGTGGCCACACTCGGGTGCGTATAACGCCCTGCCTCTAACCATGGCTTCTAAACAGATGGGGCAGTCTTCAGTTTGCCATGGTAACAGTGCCTTGCCTTCGTTGCATGGAGCAGGCTTGGGAGAGGCTTGGTCGGAGGCTCGGGAGGTGGGCTCGGAGGAGGTTCGGGGGAAGGTCTGGGAGGAGGGTTGGGTGGAGGTTTGGGAGGAGGAAATTGGGTGCTGCAGGGTAGACTGTTGCAAGGAGGGTTCTTGTGAGGAAGGCTGTTGTGAGGAAGGTTGCTGGGACAACGGTTGGGGGGTTGGCTGGATTGAAACACGAGGCGACCTTGGGGAATGCGAGGGCGTTAGGGTTGCTCGGGCTTGCAAAGATGTTCGGGTTGCATCATAGGCAGGCTCGGCGAATGGTCCTGGTATTGCTGGCAGTGGAGCCGAGGCTGATGAGGGAGCAGGTGCAGCAGAGACAGCAAAGGCAGCAGAAGAAGCAGTGGCAGCAGCTGAAGCAGCACCAGTGGCAACTGTGTGAAGCATAGTCGCTGTAGCAGCGGTAACAGATGCAGCGATTCCGGTATGCGTGGCCGAGCATGCAATAGCAACGGCCCTAGCAGCAGTGCTTTCAGCGGCGGCAGCACGCGAGGATGTAGCGGTGACTGCAGCAGCAGGGTTGACAGCAACCGCACTTGCAGCTGTTGCAGCCGTTGCAGCAGTTGCACCTGTGATGCTGGCGACAGTGGCGGTAGTTGTGGCAACAGTGGTGCTGGCAGCGGTGGCAGCGGCGTTACTGACAGGACCCTGCTGAGCGGATGATCTCCACTCTGCAATCACTGCTGCTGCTGATGTTGCATCCACAGACGAATCAACAGCTGTTGCTGCTCCTGCTGGCAGTGGTGATGCCGATGATTCTCCTGCTGATGCTCCCCCTCCTGTTCCTGCGGCTGCTGCTCCTGCTGCTTCTGATACTGCTAATGCTGCTGCTTCAGTGCTCGTATTGCTTATGCCGAAAGGACGTGAAGATAGTGATAATGAGACCCTTCCTCGCGTGCATGTAACGGGGATGACGCCGAAGACGCTGCTGCTGCCTGGAAGCTTCCCGACGTGCGTTCCTAAGAGCCGCGTCGCGACGTCTTTGGTTAATCCGGGCCCGACGCGCAGTTGCACACCGTCCTGTGCGACGCTAACGACCTCGGCGTATCGCCATTCGTCCGTGCTGCGACGGACGACGACCAGCTCGCCCGCGCCGTACGCCTCCGGATTCAGCCACTTCACGCGGCTACGAACGTCGCCCTCCGTTGCAAGGTCGCCAATCCGTCGCGGACGCGGCTGTAGCGACGGTTGCAGCGACGGTCGCGGCGACGCCTGCGACGAGTCTCCTGCTAGCGGCGGAGAGCTCGAGGAGCCACTGTGCGACGCCATGCGAAACTCGTGAGAGATAAGCGGTTGTTCAGGCCTTATATAGCGTATAACGTACAGTACGCCACTACGTCTGAACTGGCTTGAACCCTACGTTTCCTGGCAGATAGATTCTCGCCCCTAAGCATTACGCTCTACGTCACTAGGTCACGTAAGCAGGCCTTACGGAAATTCTGTCTAGCTCCACCATGAGGTTCATTCACAAGGTTCGTTCACTAGGTTCGTCCCATCCTGTCGCAAAAAAGGCGCGAGCGGTAAGCTATGACAACCCGTCTGCCGATCTCGGAGGCTCCTGGAACGTAGCACCGCGACCCGCCAAGGCGGATCTTGCGCCTAAACAGTTTGGCGTGCGCGTTGCTGCAGCGGATGGGTCCTAGAGGTTGTCCTAGATGTTGTCCTGTTCATTAGTGATTCTCTGAAGGGACCATTGACTATAAATATTTCTACGATCCTCAGCTACACCTCAAAAGTCACTTTGGAGGTTGATGGGGAATCAATTCCGATAAAAGGAGTTCACATGTGCTCCGTACAAGGTGTCTTGTACAGTAAAGTAGCTCAAAATTTCAGGGTAAGTTGCCCATTTGAACCCCGTCCCTCCCTCCGTTCCCTTGTACCATTTCACGACCAGCCATCATTGCTGTGCGATGAGATTAGCAGCACACGTAGAGGTGTGCAACGATGATAGTTGAAAGCAAGCTGCTGCTTGATTTTATGTTGAAGCCTATCGTTAGCCATGTGTGACATTTGAAATGTCAGCCCAGAATTTAGCCTGACAATCAGCGGACGATCAGTGTCAATCAGCCAGAAATATAGCCCGGATATCAGCCTGGCATCTAGCCTAACAAACCGTCCCGCTATCAGCCTGTGAACCAGCCTGACATGGGACGAACGGAGGTTCACGGCAGATGGGTCTACGAGGTCGAGAGGGACCCCTCGGGCTCCTGTCAGTGGCACACTGTCTCACCTCTCCCACCCGCTACCTCGCGGAATGTTGACGACTCACAACAAAGCGTTCTTGCAAGTCCTAGTGTCGAAAACGACAGCGGAAACAGTAACAGCAGCAGCAGCAGCAGCAGCAGCAGCAGCAGCAGCAGCAGCAGCAGCAGCAGCGGCGGCGGCAGCAGGCGAAGCGGAAGCAGATGGTCACTTGATTTCCTATCGAAGCCAGTGGTAGTTGTTATCATTGTCGGTCTCGCCGTCGCCTTATCATCCTCGGTAAGCCGTTCCTCCACGCAGAATTTTGATAACAGCCAGAATCAAACCCCGTGATCCGTCGACCTTTCTTTTTACGCACTAAGCACTCGACCTTTTGCATCATGAGCAACCTGTCTTCCTTCAACCCTCCTCCTTGACGTGTACACGCGTCACGAGTAACACCATTAGCCATCGCGTGTCTTCCTTCAACCCTCCTCCTTCGTCTTCTCTCCTTCTCCCCCCTTCTCTCTCCGCCTTGCCGTTCTGTGTTGGGTAACTCAGCAATCATCCACGGGAGTGCGAACAGCCATGGTTGCTCTAGTAGCGGCTCTCGTGCTCAGACTCGCCCTGCGCCGACTCTTTTCGTTAGGCGTCAAGCATCAAGGTGAAGCCACGATTTTCCTGGTCTTGACTGCCTCACACTGCCTAGAAGATTGCCTTGCCACTCCCCCAGCCACTGCTCCCTGCGACAGCCTTGGCTGTTCTAACAGCAGCGCTTGTGCTCAGACTCGTCATGCGCCGACTCTTTTCACTAGGCGTCAAGCATCAAGGTGAAGCCACTGCTCTCTCTCAGTCATTACAGATCTTTTCACATTGCCTTCTGAGTCAACTCAGAAAAGGCTTTCAGTTTTCGCTAGGCGTCATCAAGCATCAAGGTGGAGCCGCGACCCTTCCAGTCATCACAGGTCGCTTCACATTGTTCTTTGAGTCGACTCAGAAATATCCGGCAATTTTTGCTTGGCGTTAAGCATCAAGCTGAAGCCACGACTCTTCCCGTCATTACCGATCACCTCACATTGCCTAGAAGCTTGCCCTGCGACTGCTCACATGCACGGTCGTGCTTTGAGTTAACTCAGTTACCCCATCCCACCCCTCCTCACCCCTCCCAACCACCTCTTCCTTGCCCTTGCCCCAGTGACGGTGATGATTGTTGAAGGCCTGGGAGTGCAGATAGAGGTAGCACAGCTAACCGCCACCCAGCAAAAAGCATTTAAAGCACCCAACTCGTCCAGTCACAGCATCAGCAGCGGCAGCAGCAGTGGAACAGCGGATAGTCAACCACGGGTGGTGCATCGGCAGCTGGTGCCGCTAGACACCATAGCTGCGGCGGTGATCACTGAGATCGTCACTCCCACCAGCTGCCACTTCGCCCTCGTGCTGCTGCTTGCTGACTCTGACCAGCCTCTGCCTGTCTTCCGGGTAAGAGGAAATATATGTGTAGTACACTAGATAGTCAACCACGGGTGGTACCGGTGCCGCTAAACACCATAGCAGCGGAGATCGTCACTCCCACCAGCTGCCACGTCGCCCTCGTGCTGCTCCTTGCTGACTCTGACCAGCTTCTGCCTGTCTTCCGGGTGAGTCCAGGGTTCTATGCGTGATTTGATTTCGAAAGGTTTGAATTTCTAGACGTCTCAAAGAATTGGCTCTGACCAGCCTCTGCCTGTGTTCTGGGTAAGAAATCCATCCATGTGTTGGACCCTGGATGGTGCCCTAGATACCATAGCTGCGGCGTTCATCACTGAGATCGTCACTCCCACCAGCTGCCACTTCGCCCTCGTGCTGCTCCTTGCTGACTCCGACCAACCTTTGCCTGTATTCCGGGTGAGAATCTCATTCGTGTTTTGATCTCCAAAGTTTCGAGTTTTAAGGCGCCTCAACAAGTTTTCTCTGACCAGCCCCTGCTTGTGTTTTGGGTAGGGGATCCCTTACTGATACATCAATGTAATGAACACTGGATGGTGGTGAAGTGGCATGTGCCATTGTAAAGGAGTGACTAGAGTTTACTTAACAATTACCAGCCGTTGCCTGTGTTTCGTGTAAGGAATGTATCACTGCCATTCTTCATGTTCACCTTCTCTCCCTGTTGCTCTCCCTGCTCTCTTTCCGCCCCCTGCTCCTCATTTGCCTCTGTCTGTCTGTCCCATTTCCTCCCGTTCTCTCCTTCAGCATCTCAAGCCCCCCCTGCCAGTGCTAATAGGAATACGAAGAGCCATTGAGAGCTGCCTAACGTCATGATTCTCTCGATGTGAAAACACTTACATAAAATGTGTTGGGCAGAGGTGCCCTAGGATCTTTGTAGAGCTTAAAGTCTGAGTAGGATTGTAATAGCGGAAGCGTTGAATAAGAAAGCCTTGAACCACCTTGCGCTGGTATGTGAGGGCAAAGTAAGTTGATTAAAGCAAGCAAATACAAAGCTTTATATAAGGGTACAAGGAATACGAATAGATATAATTAAACTGTTTTTCTGTTGCGATTCGATACAGTGCGACTCGGGCAACTGCTCAATGTCGAATCAGTTGTGTGTCCTTGCTGTCGCGCTGTATTTGTCAAGTCAAAGGTCGCTGACCTTTGACCTTCGCGTAACCTCCAGGCGGTTACCCTAACCTCCGAGGGTTGACTCGCGATGCTTCGATTCGGACTGCTTCGCTTTGTGTCCTGAGTTTCGACACGACAGAGGCGCTTTAAGACTTATTATTCCCAACACTCCCCTTCGCTTATGGAGTGTCGCTGATGGTGACGTGGCTTTGTCCAGTCAGCAGCATGCAGTACTCGAACTTCTGTTTTTCGAGCTTCTTGGTCAAGTAGTCGGCTGCCATCTCGGACGCGGGACAGTAGGATAACTCGAGTTTTCCTTTCTCGATCTCGTCTTTCACGAAGAAGTATCGCAGAGCGATATGCTTCGTTCTGTTCGCGAATCCGCTTTTGTTGGCGATGCGAATTGCTGATTGGTTGTCGCAGAACAGGGTGAAGTTGGGTAACTCAGCTAACTTTGTTTCTTCCAGCAGCTCGCGAAGGTAGAGTCCTTCCTTGGTGGCTGAGCAGAGGGCGATATATTCTGCTTCAGCTGAAGATAGAGCGATTAGTTCCTGCTTGCTCGACTGCCAGGAGATAGGTCCGATAGGTTCGAGACGATAGACGTAGCCAGTGCGAGAGCGCCTGTTATCAGAATCGCCGGCATGGTCAGCATCGACGTAACCGATTAGTTTCGTCGTCGTAGCTTCGCCCTTGTAGTAAGTCAGGCCGATCGTCGGTGTGCTCACGAAGTAGTGTAGTGCGCGATCGAGCTCTGCCAAGTGCTCTGCTTCGGGTTTCTTGAGGTAGGTGGCGAGTTGGCTTGTGGAGTAGGATAGATCCGGTCGACAGGTGACGGCTGCGAAGAGGAGGCAGCCCAGTTTCCTCTGGTAGTCTCGTATTCCGGCAGCTTTGAGTGGAGCGGAATTTCCTTTGTCGCTTCCTGCCGTGTAGCGGTATGGCGTGGCGATAGCGGTAGGTGTGAGCGAAAAACGCTTGGCGATCGTTGTCAGATTTATATGACATAGTTTCTGTAGGCTATAGCGGGGTAGCACATATGGGGTACAGGGTTTCTAGGGTTGCATTTTGTACCCAATCTTCCATAGTCATTTTCATTCCTGTTTTCCTTGTTTCACATGGTATAGAGCGGGTCCTACCTTAGGACCGTTTTTTTTTAGGGCCCACCGAAGCGCGCCCCGAGGCGCGCCTTTTTTTAGCGACCCCTCGGGTCGCCTTTTCCCTCGCGGCCCCGCTGTCCCTCAGACGCGGCCCCGCCACCTCTCCTGATCGCGGCCCCGCCGCCTGTTTGACGCGGCCCCGCCGCCTCCCCTGACGCGGCCCCGCCGCCTCCCCTGACGCGGCTCCGCCGCCTCCCCTGGCGCGGCCCCGCCGCCTGTTTGACGCGGCCCCGCCGCCTTCCCTGACGCGGCCCCGCCGCCTCCCCTGACGCGGCTCCGCCGCCTCCCCTGACGCGGCACCGCCGCCTCCCCTGACGCGGCTCCGCCGCCTCCCCTGACGCGGCCCTGCCGCCTCCCCTGACTCGGCTCCGCCGCCTCCCCTGCCGGCCCGCCGCTGCTCCTGCCGGCCCGCCACTGCACCTGCCGGCCCGCCGCTGCACCCAGCGGCCCGCCGCCTCTGACGGCCTCGCCGCTGCACCTGCCGGCCCGCCGCCTCTGACGGCCTCGCCGCTGCACCTGCCGGCCCGCCACTGCACCCTACGGCCCGCCGCCTGCACCTGCCGGCCCGCCACTGCACCTGCCGGCCCGCCGCTGCACCTGCCGGCCCGCCGCTGCACCTGCCGGCCCGCCACTGCACCCTACGGCCCGCCGCCTGCACCTGCCGGCCCGCCACTGCACCGGTCAACCCGCCGCTGCACCTGACGGCCCCGCCCCTGGATCTCCTGGCCGAGCCGCCCCAGCAGCCGAACCGCCCGTGAGCCGAGCCGCCCGACGCCGAGCCGCCCGGGACCCGAGCCGCCCTAACGCCGAGCCGCCCGGGAGCCGAGCTGCCCGGGAGCCGAGCCGCCCGGGAGCCGAGCCGCCCTGCGCCCGAGCCGCCCAGCACCCGAGCCGCGAGGTCGCTGAGCCGCCTTTTTGCATACCTACTCGACCTGCCCTGCCTGGTGAGCACAGTCCCACTGCCACTGCGAGCTCTTTCCCTGCTGCTTGCACTGCGTCGCTGTCGTCGCCATGGCTACCCCTAGTGTCCTAGCTTTTGACGCTGAGGGTCGCGCCATTGATTTTGAGGTCTGGTTAGACGACCTGCAGCTGTTCTTACAGTGCGACAGGGCTGACGACCTTTCTCTCTCTGATCTCACCTCTGGCGCCTCTCCTGCTCCTGCTGCTGATGCTGATCCCGCTGTCCGCTCTAAGTGGGCCACCCGCGATGCTGCTGCACGTCTTGCTGTGCGTCGCCACCTCCCTACCTCTGAGCGTGCGCACTTTAGTCAGTACAAGAGTGCTCAGACCTTGTACGACGCTGTAGTTGCGCGCTACTCCTCCCCTGCCACTGCTGCACTGAGCCGTCTCATGCTTCCCTACCTCTTTCCTGACCTCTCTGCCTTTCCCACTGTCGCTGACCTCATTACGCACCTCCGCACCAGTGACACTCGCTACCGCGCCGCCCTTCCTGCTGAGTTCTGCGCTAAGAACCCCCCCCCCATGTACATCGCTCTCTACTACGTAGTCGCGCGCCTCCCTGACTCCCTTCGCGTCGTCAGGGACCACTTTCTCGCAGTCTGTCCCACCACCCTCACCGTCGACCTCCTCGAGAAGGCCCTCCTTGCAGCGGAGAAGAGCATAGTCGCTGTAGGTGCTTCTTGTGGTGACCCTCGCACCCCCATCTTTGAGGGGTGCTCTCCTTCCCCCTTGCTGCCCTCTGTTGCCTCTGCTGCTGCTGCCGACCTGCTTGGTCTTGAGTTGGTCGGCGCGGCGTCTGCCCCTAGTGGGAGACGTCGCTCCAGCAAGGGCAAGGGGGGCAAGGGCGCGGGTGGAGCTGGAGGGGGCGGTGGCGGTGGCGGCGGTGGCGGCGGAGGGAGTGGGGGTGGCAGCGGGACTAGTGGCGGGGGTGGTGGTGGTGGTGGTGGCAGCAGCGGCGGAGACGGTGGTGGTGGTGCCAGCGGTGGTGGTGGAGGCAGCGGCGGAGGTGGAGGCGGCGGAGGTGGAGGCGGTGGAGGCGGCAGCGGAGGAGGCAGTGGTGGTGGAGGAGGTGGAGCTGGTCGGGGTGGTACCCAGCAGCGTAGCGGCGGTGGTGGTGGCCAGCGCTCGCACCGGCAGCAGCAGCAGCGCTCGCGGGACATCCCTTCGCCTCAGCAGCTTCGTGAGTGGTACGCTGGGCGTCAGAGGGGTGGGGGTACTGGTCCCTGCACCTACGTTCTTCGTTCCGGCGACCGCGCGGGTGAGCAGTGTGGGGGTGCCCACGCCACCCAGCGCTGCTTTGGCCGCCTGACGGACGCCTGGCGTCAGCAGTTCCCTGGGGCTAGTGAGATCCCTCGCTGGGATGAGCTTCTCAGGGCTGGTGTAGCGATCTTTGATCTTGATTTTGATGCTATCCTTACTGCTATGTATGTTGTGGATTATAGTGAGGAGAATGAGGGTTACCGTTGTTTCCAGCCCGACCCGGGCATTGGTACTGCTGCGCTAGGTGCTTGTGAGGCTGCTGCTCTAGGTGCCAGTGCGTCTGCGCTCTCAGGTACTGGTGAGACTGCGCTCTCAGGTACTGCGTCGTCCTCGTCCTCCCTCACTTTCACACTTGACTCCGGAGCTTCTCGCTCCTTCTTTCGAGACCGCACTACCCTTACGCCGCTCGGCCGGCCGGTTGCAGTCTCCCTTGCTGACCCCTCTGGAGGTCCTGTCCTGTCTCACTTCTCCACTGTCCTCCCGTGTCCGGCTGCCCCTTCGGGCACCCTGTCGGGTCTGTACCTTCCCTCGTTCTCCACGAACTTGGTGAGTGGAGCGGACCTGCAGGATGGGGGTGTTCACTAGTTCACTCCTGCGAGTCAGCGGGTGACCCACTGCACGGAGGCACGCACAGGCCGACACCTGGCCACGTTCTCGCGTCGGCCGGGGTCGAGTCTCTACACCCTGACCGTTGAGTCTCCTCCTGTCCCTGCGTCTGGTCAGGTGGCTGCGTCGGGTCAGGTACTTGCTGCTGCGTCCCGGTCAGGTCCTGCGTCTGCCCCCTGTTCTTGTCGCCTCCTGTCTCACGAGACTCTCCTGTGGCACCACCGTCTTGGCCACCCCTCCTTGCCCCGTCTTCGGAGCATGGCTTCCCGTGTCCTTGTCTCTGGTCTTCCCCAGTCTCTCCCTCCTCTCCCCTCCGGGCCAGGACCTTCCTGTGTCCCCTGTGTCGAGGGTCGCCTCCGGGCTACTCCTCACTCCTCCCACTTCCCCCCGACAGAGGCTCCCCTGCAGACGCTTCACATGGATGTGTGGGGCCCAGCCCCCGTCCGTGGGCAGGGTTACGAGCGCTACTTCCTGTTGGTGGTTGACGACTACTCGTGTTACACCACAGTCCTCCCCTTGCGCAGCAAGGGTGAGGTCACTGAGGTGCTGATCGACTGGATCCGCGAGGCTCGTCTCCAGCTCAGGAGGAGCTTCGGCTCGGACTTTCCTGTTCTGCGTCTGCACTCGGACAGAGGCGGAGAGTTCTCTTCTCGCCTTCTGCGAGACTACTGTCGCGCTC